AGTCCAAATAAAGAGACAAAGGCCTGAAAAAAAAAATGAGCAAGTTGTGTGATGACTGCTCACTTTGTTAGCTTTAGATTATATATCCTATATCAGGGGTCCTCAAACTACGGCCTGCGGGCAACATGCAAATACAAATATTGTATTTGTTCCCGTTTTGTTTTTTTACTTCAAAATAAGATATGTGCAGTGTGCATAGGAATTTGTTCATAGTTTTTTTTAAACTATAGTCCGGCCCTCCAACGGTCTGAGGGACAGTGAACTGGCCCCCTGTTTAAAAAGTTTGAGGATCCCTGTCCTATATAATAAAAGAGTAATATGCAAATTGATCCTAATGGGAGAACGACTGGTTGCTATGATGCACACTGACCACCAGGGGGCATACGCTCAATGCAGGAGCTGCCCCTTGGTGGTCAGTGCACTCCCACAGGGGGAGCTCCTCTCTGCCACAAGCTGGGCTGACGGCTTCAAGCGCAGTGGTGGTGGCGGTAGCCTCTCCCACCTCCTCAGCAGTGCTAAGGATGTCCAACTGCAGCTTAGGCCTGCTCCCAGCCGTCAGTCGGACATCCCCTGAGGGGTCCTGGACTGCGAGAGGGTGCAGGCTGGGCTGAGGGACCTGCCCAAGTGCATGAATTTTCGTGCACCGGGCCTCTAGTAAAAATATAATGCTGGTATTATGGCCTGGGGGACTGTCACATTGGCAATGTGACTTTGGTGTTCAAAGCTCTTCACTGACTGCCCTGGTTAGGTGGCTCAGGTGGTTGGAGCATCATCCTATGAACCAAAAGGTTGCGGGGTCAATCCCTGGTCAGGGCACATACTCAGGTTATGGGTTCGATTCCCAATCAGGGCATGTACAAGAGGCAACCGATCAGTGTTTCTCACATTGATGTTTCTTTCTCTCTCCATGCCTCTCTCTTTTAAACCAATTTAAATTGATTTGGTGAGGACTAAAAAGAAGTTCTTCACTGATCTAAGAGAGGTAATAGGAAATACCTCAAATACAAGACCTTTCTTGTTTCTTCCCTAAATGTACCCTCCCCCAAAAAGGCAGGAAAATAATTTCTTCCTTATTTAAACTGCTTTAGCACCTTATTATATTCTCTTGTTATTTTTTTAGACTGTCAGCTCTCTGAAGTTAGGACCATCTTTTATACATTTTGCACAAAGTAAGAGTCTAGTAAGTTTCTTAAAAAAAAAAGTGAAGAAATTATTGAATAAAGTGAATTCCAAGTCAGTAAAGCAATATCCTGTAATTTTTAAGAGCCGTGAATAGGGTTGGTTAAAGGCCAAATAAAAACCCTGTTTTTAGGCACAATCAGCAGGCCAGTATTTTTGAGCTTTCATCCCTATTGCCTAAGATAACATTATTTCAGTGTAAGGTGATGAAGAGAAATTTGAGCAGAAAATGATCCCTTATATATATATGTTTAATTCTTGAGCTAGAAACTTGATTTCTATTAGAGTTATTTGGTTCTTTGAAGTAATTTAAGTAGTATAATTTTGATCTGAATTTTTTTCTATAAAGTATGTATTTCAATAAATTTGCTGTGGTCTTTTAGTATACTTTTGACAGTTTTATAAAATGAAAGGAAAGGAACATATTCCCAGTAGTCAAACATTACATTTATATTGCCTGTATTTTTAATGTAGCTCTGATTTTGTATTTTGATGTTTTTATTTAGTGTTATATATACTTTTTGTACATTTTTCTTTATTATTAGTGATTGTATTATATTTCATTGATATGAAATGAGTCAGATTGCGTTCTTATGAATGTCTTCTTTTTTAACAAATCATGCCCTGGATCAAAATTGCTTTGGAAATGTTTTATGTCTTCTAATGGAGTTCAGTGAAATATGATTCAAAGTAAAGATAATTCATAGACAACTTTTGAGATGTTTATTCCAAAATGGCAGTTATTACATCCACAATTCATTTTAACATTTGGCTGTACACATGCAGACTTTCTGGGAATGAATCTATCATTTTGGGGACTTTCTTTATATTAGCTCAATAAGGAATGTACACATGGATGGACATGTAGATATGCAATTGTCTTATCTCTTGAGCAAGTTTTAGCCTGACTGAATGGAGGGGTTGGAACTCTTGGTGAAATTGGATTAATGATATAACAGAGGCCCTTTACATTTGGGTAGGATTGTAGCCAACTATATAATCTATTCTTTCATGTGGCTGATAGAATCAAGAAATATATTGGTTTTCTTAATGTTTCTCTCATTTTCAATTAATATTATTCAGTATGCAAGAGCAGTATGCTCTGATATGTTAAGATTCTAGTTAATAATTTTCTGAATAATAGATATTCTATCAAATATTCTGAATGACCCATAAAGGATTTAGATGATAATTATGTGTTCTGGATTTCAGGCAAGTTGTTGTCCTTAAACTTTTTAGGCAAACAAATATGATTTTCCTAAACCAGAACAATGAGAACTAGATAATAATCAGTACTTGAAATATCATATAGCTTATTTTAATACATACCACTTAAAACTACATTTGTATACACACAATGTGAATGTTCTTAATGCTACACAACTGTACTTAAAAATGGTTAAATTGGTAAATGTTATGTGTATTTTACCACAATAAAAAGTAGAAAAAAATTTAAGAGGAAAAATAATAAATAGAAAAAAAGAAGTGGCAATCAAATGTCTGAAAAGTTTTTCAAATCTAACAAAATATTGGAATTATTTTAAATAAGATTTTCAAAATAAGTTTTTTCCCCCTGGGTTTTTACATGACTGTTTTTTATAAAGACTTAATTTCCCCCTGGAAATCTAAAGAAGCATCTTTTAGATTTTTTAACTTTCTATCAAACTTAAAAATGAGTTCATAAGGAAAACCATATTGCTTAATAATATTGTCTTTCATTTAATTTTAATTTCAAAATTTAAGCTAATATATATTACATTATTACTCAGCATATCATAAAATACTTACATATCATAAAACTGTCTTTGCTTCAACCCCTGTAAGTTATTTTTTAAAGGCTCTGTTAAAACAAAGAAGTGGTTATTAAGCCACCAGAGGGCGCTCCATGAACACATTTCAGTATATTGCCTCTGATTTTAAAAAGAATCACAAAAACATTTCTCTTAGTATGGATGTTTTATGTTACCATATTTTTCTCTTCTGTGTAGACATAGTTTTCTGAAAGTACCTGTGTGATCTCAGAGGAACAGTTTGATATTTTTATTTTACAAATGTTTGAGTTCTTATATGTAAGGCAATATGGAACATTAAAAGGTATATAACTTACGACTTCTTGTAACTTACCCTAGAGTTTGTAGGTATCTTATTTAAACATTCTCTTCTTATTCTACATTATTGTGTAAGCTACTTAAAAGCTGATCATTTACAGTAAGAATCTGTAATACTTGCATTAATGTTTTTAAATTGGTTGGTGTTTGTGGTTCACCAATTTTGATACCGGTGTTAGGCCTGCCACATTTGAGTTACCTGTGGAACTTGTCAATATATAGAAAGCAGGACCCCAGGTCCAAAAATTATGATTCATCAACTTTTTGGGATATGTATTTTTTAAAAATAGCTTTATTGCGATATAATTCATATACCATACAATTCATCCATTTAAAGTTTGTAATTTAATGATTTTCAGGGTATTTCCAGAGTTGTGCAACCATCATTGCAATCAATTTTAGAACATTATTATGGCACCCTAATCTTTTCCCCATTAGCATTCACTTCCCATTTGTCCCCCACCTCCATACCCCTCGGGAACCACTAATCTACTTCTGTCTCTATGTACATTTGCTTATTCTGGATAGTTCATATAATTGGAATCATACAATATGCGACTGGATTTTTTTATTTAGCATAATGTTTACAAGTTTGTAGCATGTATCCATGTTGTAGCATGTATCGGTACTTTATTCCTTTCTATTGCCAAATAATATTCCGTTGTATGGAAGGAATGTGTATTTTTACAAAGCTTCTGAGTAGCATTTCCCACTAGTTTTAAATTTTATATAATAGAACATACTTTAAAATGTTAACTGTGTATTTGTAAACTATGAAGAGCAATATCTACAGTGGTGTTTTTTTTCCTTATACTTCCATAACAGTGACCCCAGAACTCTCTCTTGACTATTTAAAAACTGTGGAGTGCTCTCTATTAGTAGTGGCAAAATTAGTTTAGTGGATGAAGAGCAGGGACTTTTTAAAAAGGGGATAGAATGGAAAGTAACAGAATCTACTAAACATAGTAAAGTTATTTTATGAAACTTTGGAAGTGTGTGTGTCTTTACTGGGTCTGGATGTGAAATATATTTCTTACTGCTGGTTACTTTTAGAAAAAGCTTGAAAGCTACTGTTCTTTAAGTATATCAATGTAGAAAACAAATGCAGGTAGAAATGTAGATAACAAATCCTTATCTAATTTGTAGTTTTACTTTTTGTCCAGGCCCATCAAACTCCATTGAAGAAAGTGAATCCTGGAGAAGAAAGGAGGAAAATGTTTGAGGTATAAAGACATCTGTCTGCTTATTTTAAAGCTTTGCAAAACTAATTATAAGAAAAGAAACAAAAGCTATAGAAAAACCTCCAAACCTTTCCTCCTTATTTCTTTATAAAAAAAAAAAAATACCTTTGACATTTCTTTTTTACCTCCCTGGGCATACCTCTACCTTTGGTGTGCTAACTTTCCTGATGTACTGGAAAAAGTAGAAATTATTATTGATAAAAATGTTCTTGTTTATTTAAGGAAGCAGCAAGAAAGAGAAGGTTGGAATTTATTGATAAAGCAAAGAAACAAAAAGATCAGGTAGTTTTTTTTTTGCTCTTATTCTTCTTCCCTTGCCAAGCTGCAGATGGTATTAGTTTCAAGGTTCTAAGAAGTTTGTCTTTAACATTGTTACAGATTAGTTTATTGAAGGCTGAACAGATGAAAAGGCAAGAAAAGGAAAGGGTAAGAGGATAATTCATTTTTTCCTGGTATATTCCTTTCTCTCCCCACAAACACTTTTTAAAAAAATAACACTGATTTCCATTTCATCACTAAATGTATTTTATGTATTTTATATTATATACTTGAAATGGTGTTTTGTTTGTTTGTTTCTTTCCCCCCAAAGTTGGAGAGAATAAATAGGGCCAGGGAACAAGGATGGAAAAACGTGCTAAGTGCTGGAGGAGGTGGTGAAGTAAAGGTAGGCACTTGATACCAATATAGTACTGCCACTCTTTTTCTAGTTTCACCTTGCTCTTTACAATATATATGATTGGCTCTCTTTAGGTGTGCATTTAATCTAGAATTCTTCAGCCTCTATTATGAATTCTTAGTTTTTCTGCATTTATTTGATATGTAACTTGTATTGATAACTAGTATGTGACTGGCAATTGCTTAAACATTTTTATGTAAAGGCTGTGGATACACTGTTCCTGCCAGAAGAATCTATTTAAAATCAAATCAAATCAAATTTGCCTGAAATCCTCTGCAGTTTCATGTGTCCTCCAAGATTAAATTTTCAGAAGAACTATGTTCATCTGGCCCCTACCAATCTCTCTAAGCTTCTGTCCATCCATTCCCTATCATACACTGTATGCTGTAGTCATGCTGAACTAAAGACCATACTTGTAGTTTCCTTGTGGAGTGAGGTCTGCTTAATTTTTTCTTTGCACTTGTGTTTCTCTTTATTTGATACTACCCTCCCCTACTTCCTCACTCTCATTCCCATTTCCAACCTAAAAAACAACAACAAGGAAGCTAATCATTAATTGTTTATTAAATAACCAGTTACCTAACTAGATCTGTTAATTCAAACATTTGCTTTGGATAGATCCAGACTATATAACTGTATACACATTACTTAAGTTTTCTGAACCTTAAATTCTTATTTTTAAAAAAATTTAAGAACAGTTCCTGGAGTTTGGTTAGCAAGGTCTCATATGTTAATGTCCTGCTTCTTTCTTTGTTCTGCTAATCTTTATATTGCATTTCCTCTTTTGCTCGTGTAGCATCTTTACCTATCTGTGTAGGCTGACATCTAAAATGGTCCCCCAAATTCCTGACCCCTGGTGTACACACCTTGTATTTTTCCCTCCCCTTGAGTATTGGTGGAACTTGTGGATATGGTAGTATAGCAGCTCCTTAAATAGGCTTTATTTTATGGAAAACGATGATGGTAGAGGCGATAGTCACTCCTGTGATTTCATTAACATCTGATTCACGACTCCCTCATAGCAGCCTGGATGGGGAGAAGAAGGTTAGAGATAGGTATGCTTCTGCTGGCCTGGAAAAAGGCAAGTATTCACATGGCAAGGAAGTTAGTGATCTCTTAGAGTTGGTAGTGGTCACTGGCCAAGGAAAGGGTGACCTTAGCCATTATAGCTACAAGGACATGAACTCTGCCAAGAACCAGTGAGCTTGGAAAGGACCCTGAGCCTCAGCTGAGAATTGCAGCTATGGCTGAACCTTGGTTTCTGCCTGGTGAGATCCTGAGCAGGATACCCAGACTTCTAAGCCCGGGAAACTGTGAGATAATAAATGGATATTGTTTTAATTTGTTAAGTTTGTGGTCATTTGTTCCACAGCCGTACAAATGGACACATTATTATTTCTCTGTATTAATTTGTACTATCCAATCAACTGTTAGTCATCCCTTTAAACTGAATCCCTCTGACCCATGCTCATTAAACTTGATATTTAGGTGCTGGATATATATTTGTCAGTTTGAATTGATTGCCATTCTTACTTGTTTCTATTCTTCAAAGGTTATGATATGAATAAAAGTCTGCTTTATCTGTTTTATGTAGACATATATGTTCTATCTCAACTTTCTTGAGTCACTTTTTCTAATTCTGTATCAGTATAGACATACAATCTTTAGTAATACAATTTTATTTTAATATTTCATTTTGTTATTTTTGTACTATACTATCTACCAGGAAGTACAACTTATTACCTCCTGAATGATGAGGAATAACTCAGACAGAATTTGACTCATTCTACAATAACCTTTTATCTGATTGGAAAGTAAAGACTTACCAATCAAAGTTAGGCCCTCAGATATTGTTAAGTATTTCATATCAAGTCCATGATTAATGTTGAGAGTTTGATTATTTTTCTTCTCCCTTTGTGTATATCTTCTGTGCAATAAAATAACTTTTTGTACTATCCTGCCTAAAGCTGTATTTAATCCTAAAGTTCATTTTTGTCAATGTTGTTTGATAATTGAGACAATTTTTCCACAGTGTTAGATACTACGTACTTAACAGATTTCTGCTTCACTTTATAAATTCTATAATGCTGTCACTGAGCATTAATAAAGTAATTTATTTGACCTAAAAAAATTTCTCACAACTCTAAATCTATATTAATTTCTGTGCTTATTCCTGATGGGGTTTGAAATATTTAACTTCCTAGGCCAGGGGTGGGCAAACTTTTTGACTCGAGGGCCGCCATGGGTTCTTAAACTGGACGGAGGGCCGGAACAAAAGCATGGATGGAGTGTTTGTGTGAACTAATATAAATTCAAAGTAAACATCATTACATAAAAGGGTACGGTCCTTTTTTTTTTTTTTTAGTTTTATTCATTTCAAATGGGCCGGATCCGGCCCGTGGGCCGTAGTTTGCCCACGGCTGTCCTAGGCTGTTTGATTTCTGAACAGTTTATAAGGACCTGGAGGCTCAGTATAATGGGAATCAAATTAAGGAAATCCCCAAAATAAAGATGAAATAAAAAATAAATATTAAGAGAAGCATTTCAAAATTAATATTATTATATACCTCTAACTAATAAAGACATTCTTCATAGTATAAATAACCAGCTGATTTGATTACTTAGTATCTGCAAAACTGGGACACTTTTGCTTTATCCATTTTTGATGTATCTCTTATGAACGTGTTTTTAGAAAAATTATGAAATATTCCACATATGTAGTTTGATCATGTGATGATCATAATATTTAAGAGGCATATCTATTGTTTGAAAATATATTAGAATACTATTCAGCAATAAAAAGGAGTAGGCTGTTAATACATTTAACAACATGGAACAATCAAAACATTATACTGAGTGAAAGAAGCCAGACACGAGTACAGATTTCATGATTCCATTTACATGAAATTACAGAGACGGCAGCTCTCACTCACAGGACAGAGCAGATGGTAGTTGCTGGAGTGGGGAGGCATCGGCTTCCAAGGAACATGAGGGGACTTGCTGGGGTGACGGATGTGCTTTTGATTGTGGTAGTGGCTGTACGAGTGTATACATTTGTCAAAATTCATCAACCTGTGCTCATATTGGGTGAAATAAGTGATTTTCAAAGGTCATATTGCTTCAGTATTCTAGTACAGTATTTTCAACGTTATTTTCAGTATAGGAATCTTCAGAGATGTTTACATACTTTCGTTTTCATAATTTTGTTAAAGAAAAACATTGAAACACTCAAATGAAGTTAAGAAGATATTCACACCAGACTAAACTCAAATAGTAAACACTCTCCTAGGAGAAATGACTATCTTTCATCAGAATTCTGATTCTGATGCTTGCCTAGAGATTCGCGTTTTGGAGATGTGTGTGAGGAACATCTGGATGGAGTTTCCTGCCTAATTATCTTACCTATTTCTAGCAACTTTAATCTCTTGCTATTCAGACATCTTTAATCAGTTATCAGTATTTATCTTGAGCTGATATTTTTAAAATTAGTCTTTCTGAGAGAGAGATAGAAACATCAGTGATGATTTCAGACATGAAGGGGGAGGGAGAGAGAGATAGAAACATCAATGATGAGAGAGAATCATTGATTGGCTGCCTCCTGCACACTCCACAATGGGCAACACGGGCATGTGCCCTGACTGAGAATTGAACTGTGACTTCCAGATTCATAAGTCGATGCTCAACCACTGAGCTACATTGGCTGGGCAAAATTAATCTTTCTTATAATATTACTAGTGGCCTGGTGCATGAGATTCGTGCACAGGGGGTGGGGGGGGGTCTCTTAGCCCCCCCTGCACCCTCTCCAAATCTGGGGACCCCTCAGGGGGATGTCCAACTGCCCACAGGGATCGGGCCTAAAATGGGCAGTCAGACATCCCTCTCACAATCTGAGACTACTGGCTCCCAACCCACTCGCCTGCCTACCTGCCTGATTGCCCCTAACCACTTCTGCCTGCCAGCCTGATCACCCCCTAACCCACTCCCCTGCCAGCTTGATCGACGCCTAACTGCGCCCCTGCCAGCCCGATTGCCCCAACTGCCCTCCTCTGCCGGCCTGATGGCCCCGAACTGCTCTCCCCTGCCAGCCTGATGGCCCCGAACTGCTCTCCCCTGCTTGCCTGATCACCCCTAACCGCCTCTGCCTTGGCCCCCACCACCGTGGCTGGGGCGACCAAGGAAGCCAAGCCTCCAGCCCACTCTCCGGCCCGCTCTGTGGCTCCAGCTGGTGCCACCATCTTTGTCGCATCAATTTGCATATTCCCTCCTTATTGGCTGTGGGCGTCGCCAGCTTTATCGCAAAGTGATGGTTAATTTGCATATTACTCTTTTATTAGACAGGATATGCAACCCACTGTGTCAAGATGTTAACACAAATACTATCTCGTAGAGTACATTGAAACGTCTTTTATTTGATTCCAGTATTTTTCTTTGTATTTTTTGTTATTCAGACTTTTTCCTTAAGATGTTATCACTTGGAAGCTCTTCTTCCTTTACTGTCAGTGTTCTGGATTCTGTTCTCATCACTTCACAGAAATGGGTTTTTTAAACGTTACCACTCAACTTTAGTCATAGCAGTGTGTCTTACTTTCAGTGCTTTGACCTCTGCATTTGAGGTCATTGGTTTCCTCACCTCAGTGATATTCTTCCACCGTGACATCTGTAACATTATACACTTACTTCTTTTTAACTCTTACCCCTTTCTGATATCTCCTATTTTCTAACTTTGAGTTTTCTATGTGCTTGAATTCTTATGTGTCTGAAGTTGTATCCTTGTGTTTTTGCCTTTATCCTTCGTCATTCCCATGGAGAACTCAGAACTCCCTTAAGCACTTACTTTTTAGCTAAATGTCTTTTATTTCTAGGCGTCTTGACTTGGTGTCAGGGCAACAAGCCTTCTAATTATCCTCAATCTTGTTCTCTCTCTTATTCCTGTTTATTATGCATAATTTGCCTTACTGAATTTCTTAAAAACTGTTTTTGTATTCTTTTCCCACTAGAAAGTTTATAAATGCTTTCTGTTGTTTATTATATGAACTCAAACACCCAGGTTTGATAGCAGTTAGCTGTACTAACCTTTTATGACCAAGCTTAATTCCCCTATTTGCCTTCCTTCTAATTATATCTGTCTTCCTAATTCCTCCCCCTACTGCCAACACCCAAATATATACATACATTGCTTATTTTTGCTTTAATACTCTGGCTCATTTAGTATGTCTGTTTCTCTCTCCCTCTCCCCCTCCCTCTCCCTCTCCCCCTCCCCTTCCCCCTCCCCTTCACCCTCCCCCCTCCTCCTCCTCCTCTCCCTCTCCCTCTCTGTTGCTTTCAAGGCTGGGTTGAACAATATATTTTTCCAGTGTTTTTTCTTTAATTTTTAGAGATTTTTTTAACTTTTGACAATTTTTTTTTCTATTTTGTAAATTTGCTCAGTACCAACTGCTTTAGAGTGTGCCTATGACCATTCATTTGCCATAGGAATGAAATGTTTTTCTAGTTTTGTGCTTAAGAATCTATATGGTGTTTTTGTTTCTTTTATTTATACCTAGAGCGTGTTTCAGTGGTGTTTATGTCTTCATTGCTTATTGAATTGAAGGATTTGGGGTATGTTAAATACCATATGCAAATGTTTTTGTTAGCTATAATTTTGAATGTTACAAAAGCAGCTCTGCTTTACTTATAAGCTATACATATTTAAACTTAAAAGAATGGGATCACATAAAATGTATACTAGAATCTTGTTTCAAAACATGTTAATTAAGACCAGATTTTTTCCTGTTTACATGAATTTAGTGACATTTTATATTTTTGTTTGTTGCATTAAATTATGCTTTATTGTTAGTTACAAAGTATATTACTTTTTTATTGTTAATGATTATAATATAGTAGGAAGACATTTTCCTTAGGCAATATCTTTATTAATATTTTCAAATTAGATAATTGCCTTTTGAAAGTCAAGTGTTGAAATTTTTTTCTTTTGAGGATGTTATGGGTGTTTTAGGTATTATGAGATAATCATTTGAGAGCTCTTTTTTTTTTTTTTTCTAATTCCTAGGCTACCTTTTTTGGCAGTGGAGGGGCTGTGGCTCCATCATCTTTTTCTCCTCGGGGACAATATGAACATTATCATGCTATTTTTGATCGAATGCAGCAACAAAGAGCAGAAGATAATGAAGCTAAATGGAAAGGAGAAATATATGGCCGAAGGCTTCCAGAAAGGTAGGTTGTGTTCTGTAGAAGTTGCTTGTGCTTTGCTTCACAGAAAGTAGTAAAAGTCGTTGTGCATATTTACCTACAGAGGAATATCACTTGGAGTATGTTCAGGATTTCCCAATGGGGCTGCAGTTCATCACTATTTCTCTAATGCTGATGCTATTTGAGAAACTTTGAAGAGATTGAAGGCCATGTCTAACTAAGCCAATGCAAACAGGTCGGACTGTAATGATCCATAAGTGCATCCTTGTTTGTAATTTTTTTTTTTTATGTCACGTCTAGTTTAGTATCTACACTTTGTGAATGTTTTCTCCATTGATTTCATTGACTTTTTTTTTTGCCTTCTGGGTTTAGTAATTTTCTCAGGTGCAAATTTGGCCTTTGATTAGGCAAACAAATAGCTCCTCAATTCAGCAGAATTTTCATAGCTTATTTGTATGTTATAGACTGAATGTACTATTTAAAGGAACATGTGATAACTTTGAGTTAACATATGGTTGTAATAACTTCATCCACTTGCTTTAAATAAATCAGAATATATTTAAATGGAATCACACTTTATGCAAAACTACAAAGCCATGTTTTTTTGATGTTCTTTTCCTCATCACTTAGAACTCCACTTTTCTCTTTGTTGTCTCTGCTTGTTTTCTCTTCACATTCATTTCTGATTTATGGCTATGGTCTTGTTTATCAGATTTTTCTTTTCTTCCATTGAATTAATTTAATATGATAGCAGTCAGTAGTTTTAATTTGCATAGTTCTTTTTTTCTTAAGTGTGCATACATGTTTTCTTAGACAATTCCAATTTCTTTTATAAAACATTTGGATTTTCAGAATATCATTTTGTGAAAACGTTACCTCTTCCTTGTCATTTTAAGGAGAATACTTTATGATCCCCCCAATTAAAAATATGATTAAAGGTAGTTAAGCGGAGATAAATAATTGAGGTGAATATAAATTAACATTATTGAATAATGTACAGTAGCCTGAAGTAAGCTAATTGTAGATTCTCCATTGTAGAGAAAGGAAGGCTATGAAGACTCACATATAAATGCCTATTTTTTATGAGACGGCAAAGCAAATTTTATGTGTGGCTTTTATCCCCTGGTGTTATTGATCTTTCTAGTATATAACTGGTTTGGCTTTATTTTGTTTTATTTTAGTCAAATCTTCCTAAGATAGATATTTTATTGGGGGAGAAAAAATGGCGGAGGCTTAGACGGACGTGTTGGTGCTTTGTCCCGGAGCAGATAGGGGCGAGCAGCTGAAACGGGTAACAATCAGCCCGATCAAGCTGGGGAGGTTCAGCTGAGAGACAGTCTGCAGCCAGGAAAGACAGAGAACTCCTAAAAAATGCGGATGGTTAGAGATTGAGGCTGAAACCTCCCCCTGGGCGCCAGCGCAGCGGCGAGACCGCGCCATCTTAGGGAGCTGTTACCGGCATCCAGAGATCGGCTACTAACCCGGCGGCTACTAACCCGGAGGCCCTTGTCTCGCAGCAGCGCGACTGCAAGAGCCCAGAGGAGACCTGCACC